GTGCAGCTTCAGAGATTCTTCCGTGGGCTCGAAGAATGGCTTTGGTGGCGCGCCACTGAGGACCAAGCCCACCAATGATGACTGTCACGAAGGCGTCTTCAGAGATTGACCCTCCGCATCGAAGCAGCTTGTCGCGCAGTTCGCGACATCGGCTGATATACGCCAGTCCTTTTTCTCCTGGTTTCATTTCGACTGTCGTCAACTGCGCCATTAACCTGCTCTGGTTCACACTGTCTGTTGCTTGATACAGGTTCTTCAGATGGCTGTACGCGAGCTCCGCCGAGTTGCCGAAGGTCCGGTAAGAACGAATGTTCTGCTGCTGAGTTGGTGTCACATTCCTCAATAGGATTGTATACGCCATCATTGATTGATACGTATACTGCTGCTTTTCATATTGTGTCCCGTTGGCTGGATACTGCAGGGACCCGTCGAAGAAGCCGAGTATCTGCGCGCCCTCCATCATCAGCTCGAATTCAAAGGACCAGGTAAAGAAGTCTTTGCCGTCGAAGGGTCTTGACGTTTGCAGTTTTAAGACGTGTGCAAACTGCGACTGAACTTGAAGTGCGTCCAGTGGTCTTTCTTGTCCAGGTGAAGGTTGCGGGTGGGGCACGAAGCTGATTGACCCGCGCTCGTACGGAGCAAAGGTAGGTTGCTGCTGTTGGTTTCCTCGCGCATATGACGACCCATCAAGACTCATGGGTGTCGCTCCGTTGTTGCTGTTGTGTGTTTGTGCAGGTCCCGACTACTGGTGTTGTTCGTAGAAGGACATGAAGGAGAAAAATTTCTCCATCATGTTCTGGTCAAAGTCCGAAGGGTGGTTCATGGGGGTCTCGGTTGACGTTCCTCTTGGTCTTGTTGCCGTGCCTTCTTCTGTCTGCAGGCCAGAGGCTGACGGTGGAGTAGGAGTAGTGCCCGAGGAGCCATTAGGGGAGCTCCTTTCCTTGTTTGTTGCCATGTCTTGTAATGATATTGAAAAAGAGTAGAATTTCCCTTGTCTGCTCTCATACCATGTTGGGCTGAGATAGCCCCTTAGGATCTTTGCAAGGGATAACTCTAGGTGAAGTAGTTGTAACAGCGGAAGCGTTTAGTGAAGAATTTGAACCGACCTTGCACTGGTGTGTGAGAGCAAAGTTGATTGAATTAAACAAGCAAATACAAGGATTTATATAAGAGTACAAGGAATAGATAGATAACTGTATTGCTGTTGCGGTTCGATATAGCGCGACTCGGGCAACTGCTCTGTAACGAGTCAGTTGTGTGTCCTTAACTGTCGCGCTGTAATTGTCGAGTCAAAGGTCAGCGACCTTTGACTTTCTCGTAACCTCCAGGCGGTTTACCCTAACCTCCGAGGTTGACTCGATGCTTCGATTGGGACTGCTTCGCTTGGTACCTTGGATTTTGATACGACAGAAGCGCACTTAGGACTTATTGTTTCCAACAAGTTGGAGCTCTACGTCCTTGTAAACCGAGGCGCAAAATGTTGACGTGGCGCACTGTCAAGACGAGCGAACCGGGTAACCTATGATGTTGACGTGCGGTCCGGCTCGTTTTTACAAGTTCGAATGTCGGGGTTTGACCTTGTATGTGTGTGTGATTTTTTACAGTGTGGTAAGCCCGATGTTCGAACTTAGATAGAAGGAAATTCGAACTTCTTTAGTTGTAAGTTCAAAACTAAAATTCGCCCTAATAACATAAACTTTTACAAATTTCAAAGACCACACGCGCCCGTATTCCACAACTTCTGACAATCTCCAGCCAGGTATCGCCTCCCACTTTCATTGGCCAATTAGCCCAACACATGGTTCGCAGGCTGGTACAACCCTTGGATGTAAAGTAGCCGAGACACCTTGACGGTCGATTTTCTGACGTCTTTCAGTTGCAGCATATTTGTCGCGTCGCCACCCCAAGTCGGATATTTTTCCTTAAGGCTCAACCGCACACATGTGACGTGATGCCTGGGTAGGGGACCGCCAATCGCGTCCGTCCTTGAGCCGTGAGGCAAGCTGGTCGGACTCTGAGTGAATACAGAACAGTATACTCAGAGTGTAGCTTGCGATTCAAAATTCGAGGCCTTTCGAAACCCAAACCCACCGTTCTATGGTAAAAATTAACCGGTTTGGCACGTGAAACTCTCACCAAACCGTTTTCAAGTGGACACCCCTGTACACATGATGCTCACCCCCTGCACGCGAAATGGCTCTGCACCAGATGGAAACCTTGCACCCGTGGGTTTTGTGCCGTGAGGTTGCACCCATTTACAAGCACCTCGACAAATCGTAACCACAGAAACCGAAGCTTGACTGAAGATACCAAAGTCAAAGAGTCAACGGTGAGTTACAAGGTTTTTACAAGCCCTTTTTGCTATGTGCGAATCGACGAAGCCGTTGCGAAGTGCAAGAATCACGTATACGCCCAGAGAGCAAGGCGAGGTCGGGGGGCCCAACCGGGCATCGCGTGTACCCATCCCCCTTCGCCGGTCCCTGTCAAGTATGATCGGTTTCTATCTGCTCCTTGTCAATTTCTGCAGCAGCATTTTCTGTCAGCACGAGTTTTTCTGCTCCTTGCTGTCATCAGGACCGACGTTGTCAAACAGAGTATTTTTGTCTGCAGTGGGGAAAATATGACCAGACAGGAGAATGCGTATGCATACTGTATTGTAGAAGTGGCAGCATTGTCATGTAGTAAGGATGTAGCAGTAGCTCGGCAGCAACTCTGGTTGCTTCTTCCAACATCAGCGTTGTCGTTTCTATGTGTCCACACCAGCAAGGCACCACAAAAATCTCAAACAAACTCAACCCAGCTAATCTCAGCCATCGTATCATCTTTCAACAGGGAGTCCCTGTGACGAGGATATAATGTTTTCTTGAAGCTGAGTTTGACTTGTTTGGCTTTCCAGTTTCTCAGCTTCGCCTCGGTTCTATTTTGGAGATACCAAAACTAAGACCCTCATTCTGATGCTGATATGTACCATTTTCACGCGGATTACTTGTCATGCATCCAGCCGGCCCAACCGTACTGCTCCTGCGCCTGTCATTTAGTCCTACTACTAGTAGCTGTTGCCTTTTCTATCAATCTTTAAGTTTTTTCCATCATCTGCGCTTGGTCGTCCTGCTTCATTGCGAAGTTAGCTGTGTAAGGTATTTCCTGCCATGCCCTTGCAAGCAGCGCCAGCTAATTGCTTTCCCACTGACGCCATTCCCGTCAACGTGGCTAGTAACAGGAACGCGCCCTTACGCTGCTTCTGTACTCCAAGTGGCGTCAGAGCCTGAGTTGCCTGCTGTGCTGCTGCGAGAACTCCTTGCTTGACCCATTCTCCCGCTATCGACCGCATCGTTTTGAAGGCACCAAGGCATGATGGCGCGTTTGCACGGCCGCGTGGTGGCGCGGCGCTCTGGCCTCGTGTTCGCTGCACTGGCTGCTCTCATGCTCTCAGGTGTGCTCTCTTGCTCGTGGTTATGCGCTCATCTTCTCAGGTATGCTCTCATGCTCAATTGTGCACTCTAGTAGGTCTCACCGTGTGCATGTCTAATTATTTGGCTGAAGTTTATCACGAAACTGCCAGTGGTGATGCTTCTCCTGACAAACGTTCTCCTCTTCCACCAATCCCAAACGCCGCGTGACGCCGCGTTGGTCACTGCCCTTAGCAACCTCGGCTCAGCTACTCTTCACCCCAAACATTCCCGTTCCGCTTTCTCTTTACCCGCACCTTCCATCTTCGTTCGCCCCCCTTTGCCCCGTCCCCTCCCCCCTTTTTCCCCTTTCCCCAGTTTTACCCCTCCCTCCTCTAACTCCCCTCCCCCCCTTTCCCCCATTTCCCAGCCGCATCATTTTTTTTCGTTTCAAAGAGGCTCTTTCGTGCAACTTGTGCGTCCAAACCCCCCCCCTCTTCAGCCTTAGGTTCCCTTATCCCCTCTTCCCATCCTCTTTCCTCTCTTTTCTCTCTCACCCCCCTCCCTCTCCCTCATCCGCTCTCAGCAATTGCGCCCAGGGTATATCTACCTTTCCTTGCCTCATCCTAATCCTCCTTCCTATCTTTCGTATTCCCCTTCTCCTGTCACCTTCCCCTCTCCCTCATCCGCTCTCAGCCTGTGTGCCCAGGGCCGTTTCTGTTCGCCTCATTTCTCATCCTCTTCCCTTTCATTTCCTCCCATCCCCCCCCCCACCCCTTGCCCTCACCCTCATCCCTCTCAGCCTGTGCGCCAAGAACTGCTGCTGTTCGCCTGCCAGCTGCGAGTAACGCCCCCGACCGTAAGTCAGCAGCCTGTACTTACCACCACACCAGGGCTGAAACGAAACACTTGATAGGGCTGCTGAAACGCACCATTGCCAGCTCTCTTGCCCTCAAACCCTTAAGGATGTGACACCGGCTGCTGCTCTCTTTCCATTCACCCTGTTGGTTTGCATTTCCCCCTCCTGGCTCGTCCACACTTGAAGTATTTTCCAGACTTGTGAACAACCCCGGAGGATGCGAGCCTTGGGAAGAGTTGATGAGGCGAGCTGTTCCCAGCACTCTTTGCTCTCTCCGTTCCACCTATCCATGCTTCATCTTACAACCGTGCTCCTCTTTTCGCTGCTTTCCTCCCTCTCCCCGTCCCATTCCTCTCCTCGTTCCGATCTTCGACCCCTTCCCTCCTCTTTCTTCCTACTCGCTTCCTTCCTCCTTCCTGTTCCCTCCTCCCTCTCTGTTCCTTTCGCCTCATATTCGCCAGACTCGTGTGTGCAGCGGAACTGTGGCGCCAATGCGGTGTGCGTGAAGGACAGGGGCAGCGCCACCTGCGTCTGCAACGTTGAATTCTCCATGACGCCCACCGGCTGTGTTAGTGAGTCACTGCTGCTGGTGTGTTCTGCTGGTGGTGACTGCTGCTGTAGTGAGTTGTGCTGTGGTGAGGACTGGTGGTGGTGGTGGTGGTGAGTGGTGAGTGGTGCAGATCAGTGGGAGGGACGTTGTGTTGGTTATTGGTGACGCACTGGCTTCACCATGATCCCCGCTGGCTGTGGGGATGAGTGTTGACGCGAATATGGCCCCGCCCTCGCTTGGCCTTGTCAGGTGCCAGGAGCCCCGTCAGGTGCCAGGAGCCCCGTCAGGTGCCAGGAGCCCCGTCAGGTGCCAGGAGTCCTGTCAGGTGCCCGTCAGGTGCCAGGAGCCCCGTCAGGTGCCAAGAGCCCTGCTAGAGCTTCATCCTATCGAGTCTTGTCTAGTTTGCAGCCATTCTCTAAATGCGTCGTTCGTCCGTATCCCCTTGTTCAACTCCCTCTCCGCTCCCCCTTTTCCCCAGACACGTGTGCACTCAAGGCATGTGGAGGCAACGCCACGTGCATCAAGGATAGTGCTGGGGTGGCGTCCTGTGTTTGTCGTGCTGGCTTCGTGCTGCAGGCTGACAAGAAGACGTGCACAGGTAGGCGTGTCACGTGTGCGCTGTGTGCTGCTGTGTGGCCAAAAGACATGCATGAAATGTACTGGGAGAGACGTACGTACGTCTGTGCTGCGATGAAATGCACTGGGAGAGACGAATTGCACTGGGAGAGACGAATTGCACTGGGAGAGACGAATTGCACTGGGAGAGACGAAATGCACTGGGAGAGACGAATTGCACTGGGAGAGACGAATTGCACTGGGAGAGACGAATTGCACTGGGAGAGACGAATTGCACTGGGAGAGACGAATTGCACTGGGAGAGACGAACGTCTGTGCTGCAACGCGTGTGCGAAAAGACAGTGATATGGCGTCTCCATCTGTCATTGTCGCATAGGGTATACAGAACAGAGACACGTGTGCAGTCGCTGCTCCCTCTTTCTCTTCCACCTTCCGTGGCAGACACGTGTGTGCTACTGAGGTGTTATTTTTCACAATTTTCAAACGTGGCTTAAATACCCCCCCTCTCCCCCCCTCCCCCCCCCCCCCTACCCCCCCACACCCCCCCCCCCCCCCCCCCCCTCACCCCCTGTCTGACAGACACGTGTGTGCTCAAGAGGTGTGGGGGTAACGCCAAGTGTGTGAAGAGCGCTGCAGGAGTGGCGTTCTGTGCGTGTGACACTGGCTTCGTGCTGCAGCCTGATGGCGTCACGTGCACCGGTATGTGCCATGCCATGCCATGCCGTGCCATGCCGTGCCGTGCCTTGTGCAATGTCATTCGGACTGTGCTAGGCCATATTCTGCGCAACAAGAAAAACGTTGGCCATGTAGCTACTCTCGTTTTGATTGATTGATGACGTTGATGAGTCCTTATCTTGTTTTCCTCCCAGCATTATCAGACGAAAATCGACCTTGAAAGAACAAGAGAGATTTATGGCAAAGCTTTCAGATGTACTGCAAATCATAGCCATGCGTTGTGTTTCTTCTCCCTCTCCCCCTCGCAGACGCATGTGCACTCAAGGCGTGTGGTGTAAATGGCACATGCATCAAGGATGGCACTACTGGAGTGGCGTCCTGTGTGTGTGACACTGGCTTCGTGCTGCAGCCTGATGGCATCACATGCACCGGTATGTGCCATGCCTTATGCTGTGCCCTGTGATGTGCCATGCGTTATGCCATGTGCAACACCACACAGTATGTGTTGGGCTAGGCCACGTTGAGTTGGCCTAACGCTCGTGCACGTTCAAATTGACTGTCGCTCTCTCTCCTTTCATTCACGCTGCCTCAGTAGCCATGCGCTGCTGCTGTGATGCCTCTCTCCCACCCCCAGCCATGTGGACTGGATGAGCTGCAGTCGGGAAGTCTCAAAACTCAGTAGCCATGCGCTGCTGCTGTGATGCCTCTCTCCCACCCCCAGCCATGTGGACTGGATGAGCTGCAGTCAGGAAGTCTCAAAACTCAGTAGCCATGCGCTGCTGCTGTGATGCCTCTCTCCCACCCCCCAGACACATGTGCACTCAAGACCTGTGGTGTGAATGGTCGGTGCAACAAAGACAGCACTACTGGAGTGGCGTCCTGCGTGTGTGACACTGGCTTTGTGCTGCAAGCGGATGGCAGGACGTGCACCAGTATGTGCCGCTGTGTGCTTTTTTCGTGCTACTATGTGTGTAGGCTTGTATGAGCTTTTGGGCGTGTTGCAGTGCCATTATGTGCTTAGAATTGGCTCGGATGAGCGTGTTGTGCTGAGTCATGCGCATGCTTGATGATAGAGAGCAGAGACGACTTTTCCTGTTCACAAAATATTTTTCCTCGCTCTCTCCCCTCACAGACACATGTGCAATCAAGGCATGCAGGAGTAATGGCGCGTGCATCAAGAACAGCACTACTGGAGCGGCGTCTTGTGTGTGTGACACTGGTTTTGTGCTGGAAGCGGATGGCAGGACGTGCACTGGTATGTGCCGCTGTGTGCAATTTATGCTTGTCTGCGCTGCTTTCTGCTTAGGCTTGTTCGCGTTGGTGTCTGCACTGCTTAGGCTTCGCTTTAATGTGCAAGCTTTGCCGATGGCCTGTGCATGATTGCTGACAAAGGAGAAGAATTCGTCTGTTTACTGCTCCCTTTCCACACTCGCTCGCCTCCCAGACACATGCACACTCAGGGCCTGTGGGGGTAACGGCCGATGCATCAAGGATAGCACAACTGGAGTGGCGTCCTGCGTGTGCAACACTGGCTTCGTGCTGCAGCCTGATGGCAGGACGTGCACTGGTAGGTGCAACTGTGCTGTGGAATGTGACACCCTTATCGCTGCTGTATTCTATGGCTTCTAAGGAATGCATATAAGCGCTGCATTCGCGTCGCAAGTCTGCTTGTTCTGCTTGCAATGGCTCATGTGCCTGGCTCGTTTGTTTCATTCCTCTCCCTCCATCCCTGCTTCAGATACCTGTGCCATCAAGGGCTGCAATGCTGCGGTTACCGATTGCGTGAAGGACGCTGCAGGCGCCGCCTCCTGTGTTTGCAAGACGGGTTACCAGAACGTGTCGGGCACGTGCATGGGTATGTTTCGAACCCTGCATTCCGTAGTTTTCATGTTTGCTTTTCTTGTCTCGTTTCCCACTGGCCACACCAGCTCGGTTTCCACTGTCTTGGCTCGGTGCACTGGCTCGGTTCCCCCACTGGCTCGGTTCCCCGACAGGCTCGGTTCCCCGACAGGCTCGGTTCCCGACTGGCTCGGTCCTGACCTGACTTGCTCGGCTCGCCCTGGCCCCGGCCCCGGTCCTGGCCCCGGCTCGAACCACTTGCTCCATGTCAGATTGTATCAAATTGTCATGACAAGCCAGTTTGGCGTTGCCACTCGTTTGCTCCTCCTGCCTAACATGCACTGCTGCTTTCGGCAATGTACCCCACACACACTGCATTCACCATCTTCTGTTTCTCGTGACGTCTAAAAGATGTACTGTACTTACTGCATGCCACGTGTATGAAGATTGGTTTTGAGACGTCTCAAAACCAATCTTCATACACATGTACCGTACGTACTGCCTGCATGCATGCACCATCTCCTGTCTCGCTCTGTCTGTATGCTCCCCTGTCCCTCACCTCCACAGGGCCTGCCCCGATGGGGGGTCTGCTCCCCACCCCAGGAGCCACCTGCACTGTGCTGACGTACAGCAAAGCACCCTACCCTACGGCCTGTACGCGTGCATGCACCCTCTACTGTCTCACTCTGTATCCTCCTCTTTCTCCCTCACCACCACAGGGTGTCAGCGCCTGCCTCGTGTGGGGTCTGCCCTGCAGGAGCCACCTGCACTGTGGTGTTGTTCAGCAATGTTGCTTACCGCCTGCATGCACCTGGTCTTACTCTCTATGCTCCTCTCCTCTCCGATCTCCCTCACCACCACAGGGCCTGCCTCGTGTGGGGTATGCCCTGCAGGAGCCACCTGCACAGTGGTGCCGTACACCAAAGCCGCCTATTGCGCCTGCCCTCCTGGTTATGGCATGACCGCTGCTGGCTGCGTGCTCGGTATGTCCGCAGGTTAGGTGCTAGCTACCGTGTTTCCACTGGTTTCCTTCTTTGAGGCGCCTCAATGCCGCCTATTGCGCCTGCCCTCCTGGTTATGGCATGACCACTGCTGGCTGCGTGCTCGGTATGTCCGCAGGTTAGGTGCTAGCTACCGTGTTTCCTCTGGTTTCCTCCTTTGAGGCACCTCAAAGCCGCCTACTGCGCCTGCCCTCCTGGTTATGGCATGACCGCTTCTGGCTGCGTGCAAGGTGGGTGGGTATGCAATCAGCAGCTGTTATTGGGTTTATGTAACTGTAGAATCTGGGGTCTTTTGGAGGCGACTGCGTTCAATTCGAAGTGTTACCACTGGTATGTGTTTTTGAGGAGCCTCAACTATTTTTGTAGTAGGCTATGGCATGTTAACTAGCGAGGGGGTGTAGCTCACATGGTAGAGCGATCGCTTCGCATGCGATAGGTAAGGGGATCGATTCCCCTCACCTCCACAACCTTCGGTCATTCTCACTTCTGTTGTCCTCCGCCCTTTTTTATGAAGTCCCTCTTCTCTCCTCCCTCCTTTCCCCTTCCAGGCGCCACTCCCACTGTCTCCTCTGCAAGCTTCACCTATTACACGCTCCCAAGCTTCGGCATAACACCCGCCGCCTACACCATGCGCCTCGCCTACAATGGCTGCACCAACCTCACAGCTGCCTCCGCGCCCAGCATCCAGTCATACTGCAATGTGGAACGGGCGCCTGGAGGGGTGGGCGATTGCACTGAGATCCGCCAGTACTACCAGCCGGGGTGTGTTGGAGCGTACAGCCTGTTCCCTGTCACGCCAGGGACCGGCATGAGCACTGGGAGTATTCCGTGAGTCTCTCTCTCAGCCCACTTACCTGCCCAGTGCGTGCCTGTCATCTCTCCACCTTGCCCACTCACTCGAATCGTCCTCCAACTAACCGGGTATCCTCTCTGATTCGGTGTCACCTGAGCTGAGACTCATCTCTGCATGCATACCAAATTTAACGTTCGCACCTTTGCCTGCTCCCATGCCTGTTTTTTTGCGTTCCCATGCAACAGCAACTATCGCGGGTATCCTTTCCGCTCCTTCGCCTGCTCTATCACTGGTGGGTGTTCCTGTGTTGCTGGGTGTTCCTGTGTTGGTGGGTGTTCCTGTGCTGGTGAGTGCTCTTGTGTTGGTGAGTGCCATACCAGCATGTTCCAATGTTTGCCCCTGTCTCAGTTCCTCAGGTAGTGAATCACCTTTTGAGTTGACTAAAGAAAGATCTCACTTACAGATCTGTAACCGCCCACGATTTAATAACTACCCACAATTCGATTACTTCCTGCTGCAGAGGCTTTTTGGAAGTGCCTAAATTATCGCTTACTTCTCATTGTAGAGGTTAAAAAAATCTCAGGTCATGCAGTGCACGTGTCATGCAACCTCCCAATCCACAAAACTCCCTCTGCCTGCCCACACCTCCTCACTCACAGAGAAATGCGCGCCCAACACGTGTGGTGGGAACAGCACGTGCGTGCAGGACAGTGTGGGAGTGGCCTTCTGTGCTTGTAATGCTGGATTCCTTCTGCAGGGCGACGGCAAAACGTGCACTGGTATGTGCATCTGTTGCACCGGAAATGCTAATCAGATGAAGTACAGGGAGAGCCCCTAGGCCCCCTAACCACCTTCCCTCGCCTTTCTCCCTCTCCAGCCCCCTCCTTCCACTGAAAACTAAGGCTTGGTATCCTTTTGGCCATTCCCTTAACCTGAGCCAGGACAGTCACTCACTGTCACTCTTGCTCTCGTTTCTCTTGTCGTTCTTTCTCTGCTCGCCGGGCTCTCTTCCCGTCCCTTTCTTCTGTTTATGGCCTTAATCTTCTGTTTGTATCGCTCCCCTCTTGCCTTAATCTTCTGTTTGTATCTCTCCCCTCTTGCCTTAATCCTCTGTTTGTATCGCTCCCCTCTTGCCTTAATCTTCTGTTTGTATCGTTCCCCTCTTGCCTTAATCTTCTGTTTGTATCGCTCCCCTCTTGCCTTAAGCTTCTGTTTGTATCGCTCTCCTCTTGCTTTAATCTTCTGTTTGTATCGCTCCCCTCTTGCCTTAATCTTCTGTTTGTATCGCGCCCCTCTTGCCTTAATCTTCTGTTTGTATCGCTCCCCTCTTGCCTTAATCTTCTGTTTGTATCGCTCCCCTCTTGCCTTAATCTTCTGTTTGTATCGCTCCCCTCTTGCCTTAATCTTCTGTTTGTATCGCTTCCCTCTTGCCTTAATCTTCTGTTTGTATCGCTCTCCTCTTGCTTTAATCTTCTGTTTGTATCGCTCCCCTCTTGCCTTAATCTTCTGTTTGTATCGCTCCCCTCTTGCCTTAATCTTCTGTTTGTATCGCTCCCCTCTTGCCTTAATCTTCTGTTTGTATCGCTCCCCTCTTGCCTTAATCTTCTGTTTGTATCGCTTCCCTCTTGCCTTAATCTTCTGTTTGTATCGCTCCCCTCTTGCCTTAATCTTCTGTTTGTATCTCTCTCCTCTTGCTTTAATCTTCTGTTTGTATCGCCCCCCTCTTGCCTTAATCTTCCGTTTGTATTGTTCCCCTCTTGCCTCGACTCTCAGAGGCGTGTGGGACCAAGATCTGCAATCCCACGACTGACTGTGTGGGGGACGCTGCAGGCGGTGCATCCTGTGTGTGCAAGGCGGGCTATCAGAGCATCTCCGGCAAATGCGTTGGTGCATGCCGTGCCATTGTCATCTTGTCATCAAGCCCCAAAAGAAGGGCCATTCTATTGGCCTTTATCTTTCTAGCCTTGAGCTGATTTGTGGTTACCGCATCATCCTAGTTACATGGTATGTGGCCAGTTCTGTTCTGTTCCTTCCTCTTTGCACATGCTGCTGCATCTTAAGGTGCGCGCACATTGTGTCCTCCACCTTAAACAAGTTGGGAGTCACTTAAACACTGTGTGTTTCACACCACTTCAACCATTTGGGAGCTATTTTCAAGAATTCCGAACGTGCAGCATCCTTTTAAACTGATTCTAGTTGTCTGTCAACACACAGACACCTTTTTATATCTGTGCTGCTCTGTGTTTTGAGAATTCTCAAGACACGTGTCGCAGCACCGTGTGTGTTCTAACTTCAACTGCGCGTCTGTTGGCTCACATCATTCCAATTGTGCTGCTCTGTACTGCCCTCGATGCTCCTGCGTGTCCTTCCCTCTGTGATCCGTTACTGTGTTCTTTCTGTGATGTGATGTGATGTGATGTGATGTGATGTGATGTGATGTGATGTGATGTGATGTGATGTGATGTGATGTATATGATGTGATGTGATGTGATGTGATGTGATGTGATGTGATGTGATGTGATGTGATGTGATGTGATGTGATGTGATGTGATGTGATGTGATGTGATGTAATGTAACGTGATGTGATGTGATGTAACGTGATGTGATGTGATGTGATGTCTTGTGATGTGCTGTGCCGTGCCGTGCTGTGCTGCGCTGTGCTGTGCTGTGCTGTTCCATGCTGGTGCTGTGTATGTTCTAGGCTGTCTCTCTCTTCCCCACCTCCCACGTCCCCACCTCCCACGTCCCCACCTCCCACTCCCCCACCTCCCCAGGCCCCGCCACATGTGGGAGCTGCCCTGCAGGAGCCACGTGCACTGTTGCTTTCGGCTACATTCCATACTGCATCTGCCCTGCCGGCTATGGCATGACCAGCACTGGCTGCATCAGCGGTAAGCCCCAAGGCTTTTCACTGTGTACTAGAGGTGAGCTTTGAGGCGCCTCAAAACTCACTTTGGTGACATTTGAGTCGACTCAAAAATCACATATAGGTGAGTTTTAAGCCTCAATACTCATCTCGGCTATGGCATGACCACCAGTGCCTGCATCAGCTGTAAGCTCCAGGGCTTTTCACTGTGTACTAGAGGTGAGCTTTGAGGCGCCTCAAAACTCATCCCGGCCATGGCATGACCACCACTGCCTGCATCAGCGGTAAGCCCAGCACCGTCTGCGCGTTCTAGGCATGGCGATTGTTGCTTGCACTGTACGTAACACTGAGGCTGCGCACGCTCTCACTTCATTGTTTTCCCCGCCAACTCCCCTTCCCATCTGTTGAACCCCCTTGTGTTATGCTTCCTCTATCTTCTGCTTGTGCTATCGTTGCCTCGTCCCTGTATATTCTTCCACCACACCTTCTGCGTTCCACCCTCCTCTCCTTTCATCCCCCCCACCTTCTATGACTCCCCACAAACCCACCCTTCTCCCTCCCACCTTACCTTTTTTTCATTCTCATCTCCCCAGCCTTCTATGTCCCCATTGTTAGTGTTGGACCTCAATCTCAACTTCTGTACTTGTACATCATTTACATCCTCGATTAGTGTAGTTTGTGTTGGTTGAGTGTACACACACATCCCAACCCCACCCAAATGTGATCAACCGAAATCCCCAACCCGCCAACTGGAGATTTCAGCCCATCACCTTGGGATTGCCCCCCATTCCCTCTCCATCCATACCTTGCCCATTTCCAGTGTACTTCAGGGCCTTGAGCTCATTACCCAATGTATCAGTTCAAGCTCAACTTCTTGCACCCATACCATGCCATGCTGTCCCATGCTGCTCTGCTTATCTTTGCCCTTGGCCTTTCAGGCGCCACCCCCACCGTCTCCTCCACCAGCATCACCTTCTACGATCAGCCCAGATACACCATCACGCCCACCACCTTCACCACACGCCTTGACTTCAACGCCTGCACCACCCTCCCTGCCTCGGTGGCTTTGAACGTCTGGTCGACCTGGCGGCTAGACGGGGCTCCTGGAGGGGTGGGGGAGTGTGTGAGTTTGAACCAGTACGAGCAGGAGGGGTGCGCTGGAACGTACAGGTCGTATCCCAGTGCATCGGACGGAAGCAGCATGACCGGGTTGGGTTTTACGTGAGTCTCAGATCGCAAGCAATGCGCGATGTTATATGCACGCATGAGACATGACACATGCGCACACAGGACTTGCACATGTCGTGACATGCACACACACACACATACATGCAGCACGACACGTGGCCGTGAAGTGCAGGGAATGCATGCACGACCCCCACCCATGTGTACCATGCATCCCTCACCCCTGTTTTCTCTTCTCCCTGCATGCGTACGCGCAACAGCAAGTATCTCAGGTATCCTTACCGCTCCTTCAGCTGCAATGGTATCGGTGAGTGCTGCTGTGTTGGTGAGAAAACAACAATGCATTCCATGATTCATGTGATCTATGGGGCGGAATATTAATGCTGCTGTGCCTAGTGAGTGCTGCTGCTGAGGTGGTGAGAGGTGGTGAGTGCTGCTGATTCGGTGAGTGCTGCTGTGTTGAGGGTGCCACTGAGCTTCATTGTTCGCCCAGTAGCTGGTGTCTCAACCTACAGGTAGAAATTTAGAGTTTTTTTTTTTTTTCATACTTGATTAAAACATTTCAGTACACAGTTTCCTTCCGCCCTAAATTTTCCAGTATTTTGATGCCCACATTTCTGTGTTGCATGTACTGCAAATGCAAATGGCAGTTCATAAGCCTTCCCTGGCAGGGAATCCCTGCTGCTTGCATTGCGTCGTCATACTCGACTCCCCTTCACTTCCTTTCACATGCCGTCCCCTCACCTACAGACCGATGCGCCAGCAAGATTTGCAGCGAGAACACCACGTGCATTCTAGATAGTGCAGGAGCAGCGGTCTGTGTTTGCAAACCCGGCTTTCTTCCGCAGCCTGATGGCGTGACATGTGCTGGTACGTTCCGATGTCTGTTAATGTCTGCTGCTGTGTTCTGCCTTGTTTTTGGGAGGGTACATACGCAGTTATCTCGGGTGGGCAAAGCAAAGGTTAATCACTTGCCCACAATACAAGCTGGTGAGCCAGCGCATTCACACCTTACTAAGACAGAAAGGTAGCACTTTCAGGGCCTTTTAGTCCCTCTCATTCTTTTTCTCTTCCATTACCCCTCTTCCTCTTTCCACTGCTCTCCCTTTCCCTCTCAGTTACACTTTCCTGTGACTTTTTTCCATGACACTCCCCTCCCAATCTCCTCCCGCAGAGGCGTGTGGGACCAAGATCTGCGATCTCACGACTGACTGTGTGAGAGACTCTGCAGGCGGTGCATCCTGTGTGTGCAAGGCGGGCTATCAGAACAGTACCAGCAACAAGTGCATTGGTATGTGTGTGCGGTGCTGTAACCCTTGAAAGTAAAAGTAACCCGATACTTCATCGTGTGCTGTCACATTCATTCTGTCATTCATTATGTGCTTGTGCTGTACCTGACTATCTGTGCCGTGACATGGAATGCTCTGATGTGCTGTGCTGTGCTGTACCGTGGGTTGGCTCCGGTGGGGAATGCTGTGCCCTGTTATGCTGCTGGGTCGTGCTGTGCGGTGAATCCCCTCCCATGGCCCCACCTCCCCATGGCTCCACCTCCCCATGGCCCCACCTCCCCATGGCCCCACCTCCCCAGGCCCCGCCACATGTGGGAGCTGCCCTGCAGGAGCCACGTGCACTGTTGCTTTTGGCTACATTCCATACTGCATCTGCCCTCCCAGCTATGGCATGACCAGCACCGGGCTGCGTCAGCGGTAAGCCCAACAACACTTACTGCACTGGCTATTGCCAACCCCTCTCCCTTCTCTTGTACCCGCTTGTGTTAACTTTCCACTAGCAACACCGTTTTCACCCCTGCCATCCTGACTTCCATCGCCCCTTCTGTCCCTTCTTCCATCATGCCGGCTTCTCCGCATGCCCTTGCCCGTGCAGGCGCCACCCCCACCGTCTCCTCCTACCAGCATCACCTTCTACGATCAGCCCAACTACACCATCACGCCCACCACCTTCACCACGCGCCTTGACTTCAACGCCTGCACCACCCTCCCTGCCTTGGTTGCCTCGAGAGTGCGATCGTATCTGCGCATAGACGGGGTTCCTGGAGGGCTGGGGGAGTGTGTGGCTCTCAACCAGTACAGCCAGGAGGGGTGTGCTGGAGCGTACACTTCGTATAACGGCACTTCAACACCGACCGGAATCGGTGCCATTGGTTATGTGTAAGTGACGACAACTCGAACCTTGTGCCATCATGACTTGAGCTGAGACCTACATGCTTAGTGCAGCGAATCTTGAATAGTTTTATTCAAGCATGCGTGATAGACGGAGCACATCACATTCTCGTGTATCAGAGCACATCACATTCTCGTGTATCAGAGCACATCGCATTCTTGACATGGTGGGCGGAGACCTATATGCTTTGTGCAATGGATCTTGAATAGTTTCATTCAAGCATGCGTGACAGACAGAGCACATCACATGCTTGTGTACCAGAGCACATGCGTGATGCATGCATGCCTGGCAGAGTACATGTGCATCGTTCATGTGACAACACGCATAGGCACGCGCATGGCACGGCAGCACCAGCACCGCACTGCACCCACGAAGATGCACCCGCCCACCCACATGGCGCACGCCTATTGCGCACCCATTGTGCAAACATGCATGCCCAATGCGGACCTGTGCAAACACCTGTTGTATGTGATTGTAATCGGTTGTATCCTTCACTCCCCCTCCTTCCTTTGCATGCCATGTCCCTTAGCTGATTAGATTTTGTGCTCACCACAACGCAGCAACTTACTCACTCCAGTTGCTCCGCTCCCTCACTTCCGCGCTCTTATGTGCTCTGCATTTCTCTTACCCCGTTCTTCTCTTCCTTGATGAATGCATGCATTGATGAACAGTAACTTAACCACGTATCCCTTCCGTTCCTTCAGCTGCTTTGGTATCGGTGAGTGCATTGGCGGGTGTTTGCTCTGTTGGTGGGTGCTGTTGATGGGTGTTTGCTCTGTTGGTGGGTGGTGTTGATGGGTGTTTGCTCTGTTGGTGGGTGGTGTTAATGGGTGTTTGCTCTGTTGGTGGGTGGTGTTGATGGGTGTTTGCTCTGTTGTTGGGTGGTGTTGATGGGTGTTGGCTCTGTTGGTGGGTGGTGTTGATGGGTGTTTGCTCTGTTGGTGGGTGCTGTTGATGGGTGTTTGCTCTGCTGGTGGGTGCTGTTGATGGGTGTTTGCTCTGCTGGTGGGTGGTGTTGATGGGTGTTTGCTCTGTTGGTGGGTGGTGTTGATGGGTGTTTGCTCTGTTTCACATGTTTCACCTACTTATTTTCAATAAAAAAGCACCTGAAAGGCACGTTCACACTTTCCCTCCCTATGCTCACGAGCTGTCTGCATGCTCATACCAGAGTTCCCTTCACACTATGCCCTCCCCTCACTCATAGACAGGTGTGCTAACAAGATCTGTGGGGGCAACGGCACATGTGTTCATGTTAGAGACTAAGGACTGAGTCTATGAAGATTAGGAGCCTAAATTTCTCAAAATCGTTGGCTTGAAATTCTGGACAGAATCGTCGAGTTCACAAGAAACGTCGTCGGCTAAACTTGCATTGTTGGAATTGTCTCAAACTCAAGTATGTTGTAGCCTGTAACTAGGGCTATCTTTCCCAATTTGAATCGTATCAAATGGTGGAGTAAATCTCGAGTTATGATTTTCGGCGCACTAGGGGGTATGCTGCCACATGCTTAACTCAATCACAATGGTTCTCACAAGTTCCACAAAGTTACACACAAGAGAGTTAGGGTAGCACTAAACCAGGTAGGAGGGAAGAGGAGGACGAGAGGGAAGGTCCCAAGAGATTCCCCAACCAAGGAAACCCCATGCCACACAATTCCCTTCCCCATAGGCAACCCCACTTTCACATTTGTCACTTTCCCAACTCATGCCATCCACCTCAACCCACTTGGCCACACTTGCCAACCTGGTTTGGCTTCACCCAACCACATGGCAGCATTCTACAGTGATGGGTTCGAATTCCCAACCCCCAAAAGTCTGTACCCCATATTGAGTCAACCCCACAACTTCCCATAGTCGCCACAACCGAAGTACAGAAAGCATACGAACTCCAATGTTCGTAACTTTCTTGATATTGCTCCGATCGCGACGATTCTTGGCTCGTCGGAAAGATCTTGAGCAGTGGAGTCACTTCAGATATCTGCTCAAGCCAAAAAACATTCACACACACTCAGAAAATCCAAACCACAGAAAAACACAAATTCTTGCGCACGCTCATTTCACACATGCAACGCACGAACACATGATGGGAGGCAGACAGACGTGAATGCAAATGATAGCATCACATAACAGTTCAGGACAGTGCCGGAGTGCCCACTTGTGTCTGCAACGCTGGCTTTCTTCTGCAGCCCGACGGCGTGAATTGCGCTGGTATGTGTTGCGGTGCATCTGAGCTACTGCATACTGCTATCTGTCATTAAGAGGTATGCATAAGTGGTATGCATAAGCGGTCAACTCGACTGTGTACTCTACTTGTTTACCTTGTTTCGACACGAATTGTTATTTTGTTTCTTTCAATTTTATTTCCCAAAACCCAACCAAGGCAAGTCGAGTAAGACATGCTGAGAAAGAAAAAACCCAACTGTTGCTAGACTTGTTTGTGTTTGAGTTATTCCTCACTCGTCGAGGTTTAATTACTCCTGTGTGCTCATCCTTTTCCGTCTCTTCCCCACCCTCAGTGCCCCTCTCGTTCTTTCTCTCTTCCATGCGCTCTCTCGTCCCTCTTTGTTGCTTCTGTCCCTAAACCTTGTGTCCACTTCACTCCCTTTCATTCTCCTCCCACAGAGGCGTGTGGGACCAAGATCTGCGATCCCACAACTGACTGTGTGAGGGATGCTGCAGGCGGTGCAACCTGTGTGTGCAAGGCGGGCTATCAGAACAATACCAGCAACAAGTGTATCGGTATGTGTCTGTGGCATTCGCAAAAATACAAAAGTGGTTGTGTATTCTCTCCTGTACCGGACAGGTCTCATCCTGTTTTTTTCTGGTACAATTCAGCTCTGTTGTTCACCTTAATGGATGCATCATGTGCTGCCTTACTGCTTGGGTTAGTGTTTGTGGGCTGCCAGGTACTGCAATCTTTTTTACACCTTAAACAAGATATTGTCGCACAGCACTGCCGCTCTGTGCTTCTCCTGTTGCGTTATGCCAGCCTCTGTGCTTGCGTGTGCTCCAACCTGATGTGCCATGCTGTGCTGCTCCATGCCGTGATGTGCTGGGCGGTGCCGTGCAGCTCTTCTCGTCTCACTTCCCCATCTTCCCAGGCCCCGCGGTCTGTGCTCCGACGTGCTGTGCCATATTGTGATGTGCAATGCCATGCTGTGATGTGCCATGCCATGCTGTGATGTGCCATGCCATTATGTTTTTCTTCTTCTCACTCCCCCACCTCCCCAGGCCCCACCACATGTGGGAGCTGCCCTGCAGGGGCCACGTGCACTGTTGCTTTCGGCTACATTCCATACTGCATCTGCCCTGCCGGCTATGGCCTCACCAGCATCGGCTGCATCAGCGGTAAGCCCAACAACACTTATTGCACCCCCCCTCACTCCTTTCCCTGCCAACCCCTCTCCCTTCTCTCGTACCCGCTTGTGTTCACTGTCCACTAACAATACCGTTTACACCCCTGCCATCCTGACTTGTATCGTCCCCTCTGTCTCTTCTTCCACCATGCAGGCTGCTCTGCATGCCTTTGCCCGTCTCCTCTACTAGTATCACCTTCTACAAGCTCTCAATCTTTGGCAGATTACCTTAATGGCGAGTTACAGTCTTTCCTTGACCACCCTTCACGTTCCTCCTCCCCATGTTCCTCTCCCCTTGCCCTTCCAGGTGCCCTGCCCACCGTCTCCTCCACCAGCATCACCTTCTACGATCAGCCCAACTACACCATCACGCCCACCACCTTCACCACACGCCTTGACTTCAACGCCTGCACCACCCTCCCTGCCTTGGTTGCCTCGAGAGTGCGATCGTATCTGCGCATAGACGGGGTTCCTGGAGGGATGGGGGAGTGTGTGGCTCTCAACCAGTACAGCCAGGAGGGGTGTGTTGGAGCGTACACTTCGTATAACGGCATGTCAACACCGACTGGAATGGGTGCTGTGGGTTACGTGTAAGTGACAACAGAAAACGCATGCCTCTTGAGTTGGAATACGACGGGCATGCTTCGTGCAGCAGTTGGTTTTGGATTTGGTTTCATGCATGCCTGAAAGACACAGCACATCGCATGTTCATGTGACAGAGCACATGCGGGATGCATGCGTGACAGAGCACATGCATGTCACATCGCTCATGTAACGCGCAAACTTGCATGCATAGCACGGTATCACCCGCACCACATCCATGCATGTGCAGTATGACACCTGCATTGCACCTGCGCTGCACTCCACACACACACACATAGCGCACGCACAATGTGCACCCACTGTGCAAGCATGCACGCCTAATGCACACCCATTGTGCACTCACGCATTTCCAGTGCGGACCCATTGTGCACCCATGCACGCGCGATGCACCTGTGGTACATAACATCGCATGCTGTCTCTTACAAGTTGCCTCTTGCCCTGCCCCCCCTCTGGTTCCTTCACCCCCCTTTCCCCCCCTACCACATCCCGCTATCGGGTTGTGTGCACCATACCCAGTATCTTACTCAATCTAGTTCCTCTCCTCCCTCCCCCCCCCCTCTCTGATGTTCTATGCCTTTTTCCTACCCCGTTGTTTCTGCATATAACAGTAACTTAACCATGTATCCGTTCCGTTCCTTCAGCTGCTTTGGTATCGGTGAGTGCATTGGCGGGTGTCGGGTGTTGTTGTGTCGGTGGGGGTGTAGACAAGTTTTTTCTTTGTTTCACATGCAGCAATCAGATTCATCTACAGATTTTCAAAATGCACTTGACAGTGACAGTGTATGTATTGTCAGCCCTTTTTTGCCCGCAGCACTAGTTTTGCTCAATGCATTTACTGTACTTACTGTGCTGTCATCTGCACAATGCAATGAAGTGACAGTGCACACCACACTAGTCTTCTGGTTCAAATTGCTGCGCAACCTTTGCAACCTTCCACACCACATTCTCCTTATGTTCACGAGTTGTTTGCATGTTCATACCCTTTCACACTACCCCCTCCCCTCACTCACACTCACAGAGCGGTGTGCAAACAAGATCTGCGGAGGCAACGGCACGTGTGTTCAGGACAGTGCCGGAGTGCCCACCTGTGTTTGCAATGCTGGCTTTCTTCTGCAGCCCGACGGTGTGACTTGTGCTGGTATGTGTCTCTGTACACTAGGGTGTGCTGCCGCATACTGCTACATGTCAAAAGGGAAGGTAACATGAGCAATTGATTTGAGTGTGTACTCGACTATTTCTCCTTATTTTCTCCCCAAAACCTCGATCAAGTGAAACTCGTGGAGTAAGAAAACGTCTGCTTTCGCTCGATTGACGTCAATTTTGCCTTTTACTTTCAATCTTTTCTGTAACGTTCGGTTTCACTCCTACGGTCCCCTTTCTCTTCCACGCTCTTGCTTCCTTCGCTGTTATTCTGCTAATCTTTGTTGTGCCCAAATCACTCCCTTCAAACCTTGTCCCGCAGAGGCGTGTGGGACCAAGATCTGCGATCCCATGACTGGCTGTGTGAGGGATGCTGCAGGCGATGCATCCTGTGTGTGCAAGGCCGGCTATCAGAACAATACCAGCAACAAGTGTATCGGTATGTGTTTGTGGCATTCGCAAAAAAAACAAACAAACAAACAAACAAAAATGGTTGTGTATTCTATCCTGCACCGGACAGGTCTCATCCTGTTTCTTCTGGTACTAGCACCTCTGTTGTTCACCTTAATGGATGCATCATGTGCTGCCTTACTGCTTGGCTTATTGTTTGTGGGCTGCTGGGTACTGCAATCTTTGTTACACCTTAAACAAGATATTGTCGCACAGCACTGCCGCTCTGTGCTTCTCCTGCTGCGTTGTACCGGCCTCTGTGTTTGCTTGATCTTCCTCTGTGACTCATCATATCAGTCTGCGAGGTTCCCTCGTTTCCTGTGCTGTTCTGTGCTCTGCCGTTGTGCATGGCTGTCTGTGCTCCATGCCGTAATGTGCCATGCTGTGCTGCTCCATGCCGTGATGTACTGGGCGGTGCCGTGCAGCTCTTCTTGTCTCACTTCCCCATCTTCCGAGGCCCCGCGGTCTGTGCTCCGACGTGCCATGCCATGCTGTGATGTGCCATGCCATGCTGTGATGTGCCATGCCATGCTGTGATGTGCCATGCCATGCTTTGATGTGCCATGCCATGCTGTGATGTGCCATGCCATTATGTTTTTCTTCTCACTCCCCCACCTCCCCAGGCCCCGCCACATGTGGGAGCTGCCCTGCAGGAGCCACGTGCACTGTTGCTTTCGGCTACATTCCATACTGCATCTGCCCTGCCGGCTATGGCATGACCAGCACTGGCTGCGTCAGCGCTAAGCACAGCACTATGTGCACCCCACCCCACGTCACACTTTTCCCCGGCAACCCGTCCACCATCTGCCCTACACCCCCCTGCTTCATCCTTCACACGTTGCCACACCCACCGTCTAATCTTCTTGCCCTTGCCCATACAGGCGCCACCCCCACCGTCTCCTCCACTAGCATCACCTTCTACGATCAGCCCAACTACACCATCACGCCCACCACCTTCACCACGCGCCTTGGCTTCAACGCCTGCACCACCCTCCCTGCCTCAGCTTTCTCAAGCATCTGATCGCTTCTGCGCATAGGCAAGGTTCCTGGAGGGCTGGGGGATTGCGTTTCTGTGTATCAATACAACCAGGAGGGGTGCGCTGGGCCGTACACCCCATACGCCACTGCTACAGGTGGAACCGGCATGAGTGCCGTGGGTTACATGTGAGTCATACGTTGCAACCTGAAGCCTTCCTTGGGTGAAGGATATAGGATCCCAAATGGTTCACGCATGTATAAGATATGCACATGCACATGTGCCTTGCGCACATACAAGCATTGAGATTGCACCTTCACCCAAACGACACCAACAGGTATGTGATACTTGAAGTTTGTTCTTTCTCCAACTGTCACCTTCGTGTTCCCTCTCGTTCCTCCACTCCCCTTCCTCTCCCTTACATGCAACTTCCCCACCATTCACGTCTGCCAGTTTGGTTGTCACTCACTCTACGTGCGTCATCTTCTTTCTGTTTACCTTCTTGTATTGTTTCCCCCACTTCTGAGCAGGAACTATACTGCAAATCCTTACCGTTCCTTCATCTGCTTTCATTGAGTTTGTCAGCCAACTTTTGCGTACAGCAATTGAGCTGACAAGCAAATTTGCGCGTACCAACCTAATTTGCACCTGCATCACAATCGTCAACGACTCTCACCATGCCTTTCTGGAGGTGCATCCTGGGCCAATCTGTTGCTTGTTTTCATCAACATTCAATGAAAAAACGGGACGGTTGGCTGTTACGCAGACGTGCGTGCATGAAGGTCTGCTGAATACATAATGAAACAGAACCCTAAACCCTCTTACGTAACAACCAGACGAGAATAGCTTAAAAAAGAAATCATCAACAACATGAACAACAACATGAACATCATCAACTACATGAACAACATCATAAACATCAACAACAACATAAACAGCAACACCAACATAAACAGCAACAACATAAACAGCAACAACATAAACAGCAACAACAACATTAGCAACAACATTAGCAACAACATTAGCAACAACATTAGCAACAACATAAACAACAACATAAACAACAACATAAACAACAACATAAACAACATCAACAACAACATAAACAACAACATCAACAACAACATCAACAACAACATCAACAACATCAACAACATCAACAACAACATCAACAACATCAACAACGACATCAACAACAACAACATCAACAACATCAACAACAACAACATCAACAACATCAACAACAACATCAACAACAACATCAACAACATCAACAACAACATCAACAACAACATAAAGAGCAACATCAACAACAACATAAAGAGCAACATCAACAACAACAAAACAGCAGTGATAGCGATAGCACCCTGCAACAACAACAACTGTCTGCCCGTAGTGCGTCTTTTTCTTTATTGCTTTGCAGTATGTCTCTTATTCTATCGTGAACTCAACCGACAACTCTCTCGACATTCTTGGCCTAGGCTCCTAAGCCTAGGCCCTAATTAAACCCTAGTTCCAAAGCTACGTCCATACGTTGACATGGTATGGAGCCGGTCGTTCCTCACATAAGCCCACCGCCCCTTGCCCTATTAGCCTGTCGCCTTGTCGCCCCGTCGCCCCGTCACCCCATCGCCCCGTCACCCCGTCGCCTCGTCGCCCCGACGCCCCATCACCCCGTTCGTGCCGTGACGTGGCCCCTTGCGGGCCCTTCGTTCATACTGTAGTGCGGCCCCTCGCGGGCCCTTCGTTTGGACCGTAGCGCGGCCCCTTGCGGGCCCTTCGTTCGTACCGTAGCGCGCCCCCCCATGGGCCCTTCATTCGTACCGTAGTGCGGCCCCACACGGGCCCCATTCTTGCGCCAGCTTAAGGGCCACCGCGGGCCCCGTTTTCACGCTATTTAGGGGCCTCTGCGGTCCCCCCGTTTTCGCGCTGGTTACGCCCCTCCACAGGCCCCCCGTTTCTCGCTGGTTAAGGACCCCTGCGGGCCCTCGTTCTCGTTAGATACGGAACCGCGCGGGCCCTGCTGACGCGCTAGCACAGGGCCTCCGCCCCCCCGCACCCAACCTTAGAGCCAGAATAGGCCTCAGTGGGCTCACCCGTCATGCTAGAACAGAGCCTCCCGCGGGTCGGCGGGAGGGGGGGGGGGGGGGGGGGGGTGGGGGGTGGGGGGGAGGGTGAGGGGAAGGTACTGGACGCTCACCCCAGATTGTGTTGACGATGTGGTATCACGCGGAAACTGCCTGCTCAAGCTGCCCGTAAGCAAAGCACTACAACGTCGTTACACAATTCAAGACATATTTTCTACAAACTTATAGCCTCGCTAGAGACACTATAGCATCGTTACACAATTCACGACAAATTTTCCACAAACTTCGTAAGCCAAACATATTTCATAATTTCAGAAAAGTCGCGCGCCTATCTCTAGTTAGTACTGTTGCACCGTCCGTTTGGTTTCCGAGCTGTCAAGGGTTCAGATTCTGAACCGTTGAATGGAGTAAAAAGTGCCGCGACGGTTCGGATTGTTGGCAACGTCGGAAACACTTTCACGAACTACATCACGAAATCATGCGACGACCGTCCACGGTTCGAACCGTCGGGGGCAAAATGGAGACACGCCCTAAGATAGTGGTACTGTTTGAGTCGTCCGTTTGGAAACCAAACACACCCGATTGGATTCACAGTACTGCTGGAAAACATAAAGAGTTCCACGCTGTTACGGTTTGACTGCGGCATAATATGGACGTTGACGAACTTTGTAACGAATTGCTGAGAACATAATTACCAGCAAAATGTTTGTTCCGCCATTGGTAGAAAACATAGAGGAGTAAAATAATTCCTTCCCTAATTTGAAAGGTTATTACATAGATTGTAAAAAACAAGGGCTTGTAACCACTTATAATCAATCGACTATCACGAACAGTCACAAAACCCAGAATTCTATCACATCTTAAGGTGCTGCTTTTCGTGAATCCCAACGGATACATGAACCTTTAAACATAACTTACTAACGCCCCTATCATAAACTTGTTGTGCTGTAATGACTCCAATATCAACTTAAGGTACATTCCTGTGGAGACACGTGTGTCTCAATCCCCTTTTTTCCGAGTCGCATCTAAACATTTTTGCAATCTCGCGTCAAAAAAATTGAGTGTATCACGAAACTGGGCAACCAGGCGAAATTTACAGTTGTGCGCATTTGATTGGATTTCAAACATGACTGTACACCTGTTTCTTCAAACTCCTGGCTCGGATGGGGTTTAGACGAGCGGAATTTTTTCCCGCGCGAGATAGGCATTGTGGGGCGTCCAGGTGCATTGACATTTCGAACCGCGTACGACTCGTTGTCAGTGATGAGTGTCAGAACATTATAGCTTACTTATTTGTGTAGGCTATAGTGGGGTATCCTATAGGGGGTACAACCCAATTAGGGTTTCCTATTTGTACTCACCTCGTTCATAGTTCACCCATTCTCTCGTTTACTTCTTCTCATGGTATCGAGCAGGTTCCCTTGAAGGGACTTTGCTTAGGGCCCACCACTTCGATTTTTTTTTTTTTCCTGCCCTAGCGCCCTAGCGCCCACCCTAGCGCCCGCCCTTGCGCCCTAGCGCCCGCCCTGGCGCCCGCCCTAGCGCCCGCCCTAGCGCCAGCCCTAGCGCCCTAGCGCCCGGCGCCCGCCCTAGCGCTCGTGAGCCGCCCGTGCCCTGCCAGTGAGCCGCCGCCCGAGAGCCGCCGCCCGTGAGCTACCGCCCGTGAGCACCGCCCGTGAGCGCCGCCCGTCAGCCGCCGCCCGTACGCTGCTCGTCAGCCGCCGCCCGTAAGCGCCGCCCGTCGGCCGCCGCCCGTAAGCAGCCGCCCGTCAGACGCCGCCCGTGCGCCGCCGCCGTCTGCGAAGCCGCCGCCCGTAAGCCGCCCGCCCGTGCGCCACCAGCCCGCCCGTGAGCCGCTGGCGCCGCCCGTGCGCCGCCCGTCCGTGAACCGCCCGCCCGTGCGCCGCCCGCCCGTGCGCAGCCCGTCTGCGAGCCACCCGCCCGCCCGTGAGCCGCCCGCGCCGCCCGTGCACAGCCCGAGAGCCGCCCGCGAGCAGCCCGCGAGCCGCCCCAGCCGCCCGTGCAGCCGCCCGTGAGCCGCCCCAGCCGCCCGTGCGCCGCCAGCGAGACGCCCGCGCCGCCCGAGCCGCCCGAGCTGCCCGAGCCGCCCGAGCCGCCCGAGCCGCCCGAGCCGCCCGAGCCGCCCGAGCCACCCGAGCCGCCCGAGCCGCCCGAGTCGCCCGAACCGCCCGAGCCGCCCGAGCCGCCCGAGCAACCTGAGGTGCCGAGCTCCTGCTCCTGTGGGGCTGCTGCTGCTCCTGGCCCGGCGCAGCCGCTGTACTGCCGTGTTACTGTACTACCGAGCTACCCGACTCTTCCTGCCCGGTGAGATTGTCAGCTGCTATAATGGCCACCCCCAGTGTCCTGGCTTTTGATGCTGAGGGTCGCGCCATTGACTTTGCAGTCTGGGTCGAGGACCTGCAGCTGTACTTACTGTGCGATGCGATAGATGAGGTTTCTCTCTTTGACTTTGTCTCTGGCGCTGTCCCTGCCCCTCCTGCTGATGCTGACCCCACTGTTCGCTCCAAGTGGGCCACACGCGATGCTGCTGCACGTCTTGCTGTGCGTCGACACCTCCCTTCCTCCGAGCGTGCGCACTTTAGTCAGTGCAAGACCGCTCAGGCCTTGTACGACGCTGTAGTTGCGCGCTACTCCTCCCCTTCCTCCGCTACGCTTAGCCGCCTCATGCTACCGTACCTCTTCCCTGACCTCGCTGCCTTTCCCACAGTCGCTGACCTCTTTACCCACCTCCGCGCTAGTGACACTCGCTACCGCGCTGCGCTTCCTGCTGACTTCCGCGCCGCAAACCCTCCTCCCATGTACATCACTCTCTACTTTCTAGTCACCCGTCTCCCTGAGTCCCTACGTGCCGTTAGGGACCAGTTTCTCTCTGTCTGTCCCACCACCCTCTCTGTCGACCTCCTTGAGAAGTCCCTTCTAGCGGCTGAGAAGAGTATAGTAGCTGTAGGTGCCTCTCGTGGTGACCCTCGCACCCCCATCTTTGAGGGGTGTTCTCCCTCCCCCCTGTTACCCTCTGTCGCCTCTGTTGCTGCGGCCGACCTCGTTGGTTTGGAGTCGGTCGGTGCTGCGTGTGCCCCCAGCGGTAGGCGCCGCTCTGGCAGGGGCAAGGGGGGCAAGGGAGCGGGTGGAGCTAGCGGGGGCGGTGGCGGAGGAGGTGGGGGCGGCGGGGGGAGTGGGGGTGGCGGTGGAGGTGGTGGCGGGGGTGGAGGTACTAGTGGCGGCAGTGGAGGCGGAGGTGGTGGCGGAGGTGGCGGTGGAGGTGGCGGTGGGAGCGGCGGGGGCGAGGGTGGTGGTGGCGGCGGTGGCGGCGGAGGCGGGGGTGGCGGTGGTGGAGGTGGTCGGAGTGGCTCGTCCCAGCGGAGCAGCACTGGGGGTGGTCAGCGCCAGCAGCAGCAGCAGCAGCAGCAGCGCTCTCGCGACGTCCTCGCCCCTCAGCAGCTCCGTGAGTGGTACTTGCAGCGTCAGCGT